CTGTAAAACTGATAATGTGTTGTAAGTTTCGTCAGAATAAAATTTTTGGTAAGAATTACTCAAACTTTTTCTTATGTATGTGTTATAACAGAATTGTATTAGGAACTAGCACTATAGAATAGTCCTTCTTGAGAAGTTAATAGTTGCTCAGTTAGTAAAGGAATTCTCCGTCTTTTATGAAAACTGAAAGTTCATTACCATGTTCACAAACGCTCGCAACGTGAAAGAATTCTTAACCAGATTAATGCAGTCCAACCCCCCCTTAAGCTAATTCATTTTAATATTACTCGCTCGTCTACGCTTAGGTCTTGAGAGTGATCTTTTTCCTTTAGACTTTTAAATTTGTACCAATATAAAATAAAAAGTGATCTGATTTAGACATAGATGTTTTTACGTAAAAGTGAGACTGCTGAAGAATTTTAACGAAGACGGAGAGTGGAAGTAAGGGAATAAATGGTACATAGAGGAAAGCAGAGAATTGAAACTGTACAGAATGAACCAACAGTGAACACGATTGCTGCGAGAGGAGGATAAAGCTAGCGAATTGCATGAACGACAATTCGTAGCTCATGGTGCCACCAATACCAACGTAATAGACTAAACTTCAGGAAAGGTTAATTAACAGAGCAAATGCTGCCTAATGCAGTAAATCACTTTACTCCTAACACAATTTAATATCATTCATGATTATATAGGGATCATTTAAACAAAGGATTCGACTTATGAAATGCCCGTTTCATTTCGCGATAATAGGTTCTAACTTATAACCCGGGGAAACCCAGGTTTGTATGGAAACGCAGTGACTTCCATTACAGTGTAGATCAGGTTCACGGCTCTCAGCTGTCGCATCCGTTACTGCTAGGTGTTAATTAAATAAATAATCAGAGTGAGGCATCGGTTTGAGTTATCCATGTTGAAACCAAGTGAAACAGTTTTAGACCTAATTCTTGATGTATCTGAATCAGCTCAGACAAATCCAACGTGTGATATTTCTTACGTAAGTTTTATGCTTTCTAAATAATTATTAATTGCGACTGTTTCTTTAATGTAATAGTACAGTTTTTTATATGAGCGCTATTATATATATTTACTACATCAAATTAGGCTGATTATATTTAGGAATATGAGATTGGCATGGATGTAGCACGCATGAATTCGGTGAGAAATGGGGACAAAATTTTAGTTAGTAAGCCTGAACGGAAGAGACAGTAGATGAGAGGATAATATTAAAATGAATATCAGTGCTGGACGATATGAATTTTATTTATCTGGCTCAGGATAGGGACCAACAATACACATTTTGGCTACATAAAAGGAATTTCTTGGTTAGGTTAGCATTCTATTACCTTCTAAAGAAGGACTCGGGGTCATTATGCCCAAAACACCAAATTTAGTCAAAATTCCTTTATACTGAAAGACAACCACTGTTGCCACTATGATGTTCTTCTTATTTTGTAGGCATAAACAACACATGAAATGGTTCAATAGATGTCATTATTCGCGAGATAGTTTGTGTAGGGCGTACAAGTAATTAGATATTCTATCAAATATGGATGAAGCCAACGATGTGCTGGTAGGCCTAATGTGGAAATAATCCTTCCTCGTGTGTAATTACAGGTGCTTATAAAAATAGAAAAATTCAAGTAAAATTTATGTAATCCTTTGAATTCGATTAAAGTCAACGGAAAGTGAAATTCAGGTGGAGTGACAAACGACATTTTTACGTAATCGGAAGGACCCGAGCTTAAATATCGTACTAAAGACAGGTTATTTTGAGGAAACTTTCATAATTTTTCTCAGTCTCTGGAGTTAGATTCTGGGATAGGATAATGCTTACAAAATTTAGATAGAAACCTGAAGAGAAGTGATCACTTGCGAGACGTAATTGTATGAGGAAAACATTAAAATGTAAATGAAATGATGTGTGGACTGAATTGATCTTTTTCAGGACAAAGGCCAGTGGCGGGCTGTCTTAAATACCGAAATAAATGTCAGGATTTTAAAATAAAGGCCAGTAATTTTCTCATCAATTTGACAAGAATGACTACTCCACAGAGTTGGTTTAATCATGGCGAACGACATGGAATTATTTTGTTTGCTTACTGCGGAATCCACGCGCGAATATCACACGAAAGACGAAAACAATTAATTTACTGAAACCGCATGCTTCAAGGACATCATTACTAAGAAAAGTATTGTTTACCCCTTTAAAACCAAAGCTTGCCTAAATAATATTTAAAAATTTAGTAAGTACCGCAAGGAAAACACAAGTTTTCACCATTACATAAATAAACTGATTAACACTGTTTAAGGAAACAATAGCTGTTTACTCTTATAATCACACTAAACATAAATGTAAAATATCGATTTATTGATTTTTGAAGCAGGTGGGACTCAAATTATTTAGCAAGGAATTTAATTTATATTTTATAAAGACATTTTACTTCAGGGCATCTTTTTTATATTTTCTCTTGAAAACAACAGTATTTTTTAATATAAAAACAGGATACTGCACAAGTCTTATAAGGGCCACTGTATAATATGGACGTAGCTCTAACCCACCTTATCCCCAGTTATATGTGAACAAACCAATGCTCTTTTTGGTGATCCAGCTAACCCAAGCAAGCCTGTCTGTATGTGTGTTGATACGAGGCATATCAATCATGCCATGTCGATGGGATTGCATGCTATCACGGCTACTGGACCACCCTTCACACCCCCGTCCCCCCAATCCAAAATTTACCCACCGCTTCCACCAATTTTGTACTCTGTATGAATAGCAGCATTTGAGCTTCGCGAACCAACCTCCCTACTTGACACCCGAGTTATACAGAACAGGGAGAGAGTGGGTGTGTTTGTGCGTGCGTGCGTACGTTGGGTGTTGTATTCATGGTACTGTGATAGATTTTCGACAGGGACGGATTTTGTCTAACGTAGATTATATGTTGACCAAAGATATTATTATACTTTATAAAGGATACTGAAACCGTATAGTTATATATATATACCTGAATCACCGTAGAGGATGAGAAATTATATGCAGATTTATGCATTAAAATTGTAGATCTAAATTAAATCTTTAACATTTTAGAATTAAATATTAATTTAAATATTTGTAATGTCATGGACGTTCCTTACAAAACACATAACAAGATATTAGTTTATTAATATAAATTCTTCACGCTGAAATCAGCAAAGTATAGAAATTATGTTAATGCTGGCCTGTTGGAAGTATCAAGAATGATTTTAAATGAGTTATTAGTGAATAGGTAGTGGGGTAAAACTCAAGTATTCTGTTCGGAGCTTAAATTATCCTTTCCCCATTTTATCTAAAATAGATCGATTATCAACAATTCAGGTCTTCGTCGTGGGGAAGGGTAACTTCTAGCCGCCTGCCTAACTGCATTATAAATCGTCGGTTATGCCATACAACTTTGGATGAACAACTCGGATAGAGTTATGACTTATTCTAATCGTAGATATATATACTGTACAGAGGAGAAATATGAATCTTTACACGATAATGAGTATGATAAAATTCATGTATCTTTATAGAATAGCAAAACCTGAAACTAATAGGCGTTGTGAGTGAGATTCAAACCCGCGATTGCAGAGTTTAAGCAGCATAAAAGTTTGTGCGCCTTGCCTTCACTTACTGGAAATTTTAAACCAAACTTAAAACTATCAATATTATATATAAGCTGAGCGTACAAATAAATCTTCCGAAATCGTGTTTCTATCGATTACTTATGTCACCAAAAACATTGCTAAAAATAGGCTAATTATAGAGGTAAATTATTCTTTCCCCTCATTCGTTAGGCATTCCAGGCCTTATCAGAACAAACAAAATATTAGAGACTGAATAATTAAGCATGCAGTAGGGCACCGTACATTACAATCAGACTATCAAAATTACTAGCATCATTATAAGAAGACACAAAAGAGTAACAAATATCCATATGAGAACTCAAGTTCGAACAAACATTTCAGCGTATAAGTCAATAAAACTGGACGGCATTTTCTGAGTAAAATTTATTGCAGTCAAACGTAAGATTTATAAAAAAATAATATAATCACATAACACTAGACATAACACGTGTTTAATGAATGTATGTTACTAATACTTTGCCTTTTAAATAACAAAACATACCTGGGAAGGATACATATTCAGCCTTTTATTTGAGTATATGTGATTATTTTGCTGTGGATAAAGTCGGCCTAGGCTTGTCACTGCCTACCAACATATTATAACAGAAGTCTCTAAACTAGTTTTAGGTCTTTTCGTTTTGACACAATCTAATAAGCGTAATAAAATACGTAAAAATATCTTCAAATCAGCTGCAGGGCTACATATTTGACAGAAACAACATTTAGTCCATCGTCTTCTTGCACAGTATTAGGACAATATTGTAAACAACACTGTGAAGTGTTTGTCGTTCTTTTTTATTCAAAATTGAAAAAAATTATTGAACTCTCAAACTATTTGTTCCAAGAAAATATCATTCTAAATTTTATATTTTAAATGTGGTAGTATACATAAAACAAAAATTTAAATGAATATTTTTACATCTTAATATTTTCAACTTTACAAAACAGTTCAAT